TGAGGACAACGGCAGAGTAAAACTTATAGCACGTTTTTCCCCATGTAATTCACAACTCGATTTGCTTTCCGCTCTGAAACTTTTTTGGGTTTTTTCAGCTGTTGTTTTTGCATTCTTGTGATTATATTCTGTTTTCCCTTATGTGGTGTTCATCTATGATCTTAATTATCTGCCTCTCATTGCCAACTCTGTGAACTCTGAAGCTAATTTGAGAAGGAAAGTTCTGCCCGGTAATTTTAAAAATATGAGGCATTATTGAGGGTTTTTCCTGGACCAGTGATTACAATAAATATGGAGTTTGGAAGCATAGCTTTGGATTCTTCCCGCTTACTTTTAAAGAGATTGAGAATTGGGTGAAACCTATTCTCATTAAAACTGAAGAGAAGAATAGGAAAGGGACCTCCTTCTCCTCTCCCCACCACGAGTGCTTGATTTCCCCAAGTTATGGGTTGAGCTCACAAGAAACCCAGGAGGAGCAAGGATGCTGCCTCTGTACCGATAGGTATTAGCAGCATCTTGCTTCTGCAGAAGGTCGGTGGTGGATTTGGATGTCCATGCGAGGTTGGGGCCGGGAGTTGCTCCTTCAGTAGTCTTTCCCAAGTGGTCCTTGTTGGCAGACCTGCCATGTGCTGCTTGAGATCTGCACGTGCGCCGTGGGTTTTGTTGAAAAAGAAAAACATTGCAGGTGCAATGCATCTTTACGGAGTAAAATAGCTGCTTTTAGGAGAAAGGAGGAGAAAGAGAAAAGCGGGACTGTTTCCCACCGAGGGGACATGGAGAGCAGGAATGGGGCCCATGCGTGCACAGCTCTGCTCCGAGCTTATGTGCTTGCATGCGATCAGCTCCGGTCTGGTGTTTTTATCGAAGCATTGGTTGATGACGGTGGTGTTCTGCGTGGGTACTGTGCCACGCTGAAGCGCTCGGGAGATTTTGGAGCAAATCTTTTATTCAGCCCAAGACGTATTCCGAGCAGAGGCTGGCATACCTGCCTGGACCAAGAGGCTGAGCCTGGACAGCCTGAGTGATGCTCTCAAAGTCGCTTCTCATCATTCCTTGCATACAGCATTTAAGTCCCAAAATACCGTCTTTGAACACTGGAGGTTAAGGATGGCGTTGGTTAAATGTGAAAAACCACCAGGCATGGGGCTGGGAGAGGAGAATGGGAGCGAAGTACAAATACTACATGGTGTTTCGGATGAGTAGTCTGTAAACACAGGGTCTTGTCGTCTGTTCTGGATACCTTTTTGGTGTGGTTTCTTTCTGTTTGTTTGTTTTCTGCTTTGCCTTTTTATTTTTTTTAACCCAGAGGAAAACAATATTAAAAAATAGAGTACAAAGGAGTAGTATTATCTGAAGACCCAATAAGTTGAATGGTCTTAAATAGGTCAAACGTGGGAAACTGGGTAGTCTAAGCTAAAACTGCCACCAAGGGGAAGAAAGACTTCCCATTTTTAGGAGAATATAATACATGAGCGATGAAAAGATCTAGGGAGACGATGGAGGAATGCACTTAAGAGAAAAGGATGAAATTATGTGCAAGAAAAATGCATCTAGTATCAAGAGAGATGTTCTGTGAGGAGAAGTTTTTCATAGAAGTAGCCTCTTATGAGAGAGTCCCTAATTCTTGGGGCAGTCAAAAAAGGCTCAAGAAAGAAAATACAGGGAACAGTGCATTGGGAGGGAGATGTCTTTGGTCAAATCGGCAGGTCTCTAGGCCATAAATTTTAGGGAAACTGTTAAAATGTGAATATGGTCTACAGTTTATTGGGAATGGTTTCAAAGGTCTTTGCTGTTCCTTGTCTTCTACTACAGTTAAAGCCATTTGTTGGGTTGGAACAAGGAGGACTTGGCATCTAAAACCTTGTAAGCACCCTGTGAGGCCGAAGGGGCTTCCCTCCAAGGTTGAGAGGCAGACTTAGGGTGAATCCTTCGTGTGATATCTGCAGCCCAGCTCGGATCACTCTTGCTTCTTATGTCCGTGGAAAACATTTTTTCCTCTGAAAGCACAATCCAAAATAGTTTAATTTTCAGAGAATATTACAAAGTCGGTCCAGATGCTTCATCTTCCTCAAAGCCATCAGTAAAACAGGGGAAGAACCTGGCTTCTGGTTTGTCCCCAGGGGCGAAGGAACTGAGTGATGGGGTTGGGGGTTTCGGCTCTCGGCCGTGGGGACGCGTGCTTCCCACTGCCCTGTCCCCCACGACCTGGTGGCTTCTGCCTCTCCCAGCACTTGGTGACCTCCACCATCCTCTGAGTGCTCCTGCGGAGGGGATGGGAAAGAGGTCCCATCAAATGGAGAAACTTTTTAATGAGGTGAACAGCTACAGGATAAGGCCTGTGGTGTCGCAGGGCGATGGGAGGATGTGCTGGAAGTGGAGCCACATGTGGGATGACTTCTTGGCCTTTCTTTCCTGAAGATCCTCTTCTCGGAGCTCATTTGGAGGGATGAGGGAAAGTGATTTCAGCTGAACTGAATTGCTGTGGCGTAGTCTTAGCAGAAATCTTCAAAATCTGGTATTAAAAGGGCTGATTGGTTTCAGACCGGCTTCTGGCTCCTGATGAACTGCTTTCCAAGTTTCCAGTAAGTCCTCGAGGTCACCACAAAATCTTGCCTGCGCAGCCTGGGGAGATGGAGCTTATGCCTGTTCAGTAACGGGAAATTAATTACCCACCACCTTCCATCTGATGTTGCATAAAGCCGAACGCGGTGGCTGGCGTGAGCGACCGACCGCCACGGCAGCTGCGCTGGCGGTTGCGGCTGAACCTCTGTGTGCTCTTGCCTTTGCTGGTGCTGTACATTAATTTATTAAAGAAATGGGAAAAAAACCCGCCTTCGGTTTTGAATTTGCACGACAAATTCATTGGTAGCAGCGGGCTGTGCTAAGTTAGTGAGCAGCTTCACTCAAACATCTCAGTGATGCTACCAGAGGTGAGTTGGTCTCCTGGTCAGGACGGAGATGATCAGGGGTTTTTGTGCTGCTTGCGTAGGTTTTGAGAGATGAGGCACAGCAGGATTTAATGAGTATCTATCTTAAGTCCGGTCCCATCAGTGGTGGGGTGGGAGTGGGACAGCCCGTTCTGTCTTGGTTCTCCTGTGGCACCACCAAAAATGAGAGGAGATGGGTAACACCAGCACCCCGAGAAGCACCGGCTCCCAGGCCTGCGAGAGGAGCTCGAAGGGAGGTCAGAGCTCCCTGCTTGTAGGTCCTCTGCAGGGGGCTAGTGCTTAGCTTGATAAACATTGTAATAATCCTCCCTGTTCTGGGTCTATCACGTAGATCACTGATTTTGGGCTCATGACCCTTCCCTTTCCAGGGGGAAACAGCTTTTGAGAGCATCGAGAAGACATATGATGTGGAAATGCTCGTTCTTGGATAGTTTCTGTTTCTGAAAAGCTTTCTTAAAATGTCAGATTGCTTGGAAGTTCAAGCTGGTGCAGGACTGCAGGAGAAAGACTTACACTGGATCCCGCTTTGTCCCTTGCCGGGGTATTGGCACCAGTGATGGCTGGATGGACGTTCCCGGCATGGGTCAGGAGCTGCTCATCCTGCACACCCCTGATGTTCAGCTAGGATAAAAAGTATAATTCAGAGCCAAAATCCACGGTATAAATCTGCATTATCTTTGCAATGCATGTGCATGGTTGCGAGAAGGTTTTTTTGATGAAGTTTAGCACTGTTGGGAAGGGCAGCACCGGGTGGGAATGCTCCTGGGCACATCAGTAAGGCTGGATTTTTGCTTTAGCCTTGAGCTCCAGCTTGTAGAAGACAAGGAGCAAGTCGGGCTACAGCTCCTCAAGGGTTCATTGCAGACATTTCGTAAGACCGCTTTAGTCGAGGTCATCCTGAGGCAGCCTGGTTGCATAATGCCATAGTAGCTGGAGACTCATTAAATTAGCATCAGGTTTTTCTTTTAATTAATTTATTTTTTTGTAGTAGAGAGGGTTGACGGCTGGTGCCTTGCTCAGGTGAGATTTGTTGTTGCGCGTTGTTTGTTTTGTGAATTCCAAATGAGTTGGTTTTTTCTTTTGGCTCGGAAGAGTTCAAAGCAAGACCTTGTCCCTTCTCTGAAGTGTTTATAATCCAATTTCAGACATAAAACAGCACGGGCGTGGAGGAGGGAGGAACAGGCAGGGATAAAACGGCAAGGTTTTACATAGCCTAGGGGACCGGGGCGGTAGGCGGGTGTCTGAACGCTTCAGCAGGTCGATGGCATTTGAGGATCCCCATGGGTTTGTTGCCTGGGTGGGGATGCTCAGATGTAGCCTGGCTCGGTAAAACAAGCCACCTACAGAAGAAGCCCCCGGAGGAGCGGTTCGGGTCCCCGCCGCAGCGCCCGGCGTGGGTGGGCGATGCCCGTGGAGGGGAACTCGGGTGTTCGGCTTTCGGGACTAACCGGCTCTCCTCTGGAGGCTCAGACCCACAGTGCAGTTGGGAAAGAATGAGCTCAAAAACCTATTTTATTTTTCCCGACTATATAGACCGGTCTCAGAAATTGCTATAACTCACACAAGCACGTTTTTCTTAAATTCCCTGGTATTTGTGGCTTTGCGTCACTCTGCACCCATGAATCAGTGGAGGAATTTCTGGCGTTGTTTGTCCCCGCTTTCTTTCTGCTAACACTAGAAATTGGTTGTTTCACTGCCCCCACGATTAAGCAAATCTGATGTTTGTCCATGTTATGATCCGGTAAAGAAGCTGGTTGCACGCCTCCATATACCACATCTGCGCGGCGATACTGAAAACGGGCACGGAGGAGTTTACCGGGTACTCCTATACCTGAACAGCTGATTTTTTGACTTGGTTTTTAGAGTAAAACTCTTTGTCATCTGACATTTAGATTGAATTTGGCAGGAGAGCGTCGCGCAGGTATGCTGGAGGAATATGAGATTTGCATCTGAAATGCGGTATATTGCAAGTTGACGGTAAAAGCAGTATGTCACAAGTTAACGGTTAACGCAAGCTGTTATAATTACTCGAATTACTCTTCTGTTTTCCAGGGTGCCCGAGAAACCTTTGAGAACTACTATAGGAAGCAGAGAAGAAAACAAGCCAGATTGGTCCTGCAGCCACCTTCAAACATGGTACGACGGGCCCCCGCTTGCGGTGCCCAAACTTGCTCTGCCGAGCGAAGGAGCGGAGGGTTATCTCTGGGCACGCTGTTCCCAGCGGGTGGTCTCCAATTCCTTTCCAATTGCTCTTGGTCACCTTTGTTTTAATCTTTGCTCGCTTTTTCTTTGTTGCAGCATGAAACTTTAGATGGCTACAGGAAGTATTTTAATCAAATTGTAGGGTAGGTGTTCTTTTTATATACATCCTCGCTAAATCTGTGTGCGCTGTGTTGTTGAGGAGCCCAAAAAGAAAGAGAGGGGAGGGAATGTTGATCTTTTTGAGGGTCCTTTAAAGGGAGTCAAAACAGGAAAAAAAAAAAAAAAAAAAAAAAAAAAAAAAAAAAAAAAAAAAAAAAAAAAAAAAAAAAGGGGGCTTGGGCTTTTTAAGTGTTTTAAGGTGTATTTTATAGCACCCATGAACTTTGCTGTGTCACTAGTGGGGGCACGGAGCCTGCCAGCTCTTGTACCAGCAAGCGCGTTTCTGGGAATTTGAGGATAAATCATCTCTGGGGACTATGTGCATCTACTTGCCCCGCTAATGAGATGAACAGGCCCTCTGCCTTAATTATTGTTTAATATTTGATAATTATTCTTTGATTATTTTCCTGGTAAAGGAGGTGATTCTCAAGCCTCTATTCCTGTGAGCTGCTTATTATTGCACTCAAATTTGACAAGAGTCTTCCAAAACCAGCCGAGCTCTAAGAGGAGGCACCCTAAGACCGCTAATCTAGCAAAGATAGAGTATGATGTCGAAATTTCTTCTGCTAACGATAATAATTTCGACATCTAACTGCAACCATCGCAAATGCAGTGTGTTCTGCTCACCTTCTCACGCAGCTCCGTGCTCCTGGGCTGAATTTCCCCGACAAAACACAGCTGAGATTTTGTGCGTTGCTGTTTAAAATGTACAGTGCCATGCTCGCTCCCTGAAAAATACGGTTTCTTTTTGGCCAGCGTGTTTGAAAACTGGAGATTGGAGTGAACTGATTGCCTTTAATTGGTTGTGAGCGTGTGGCGCATCCAGGCGCGAGAGAGTATTTTTCCCTGCAGTTTAAGTATTTTTCCCTGAAGTTAACCAATTGTAATGCGATTGCTGCTGGCTGGAGCGGAGTTTCAGCAGTGGTTCTTGTTGAAATAACGGGGTGGAGAACTTAGCAAGGGAAATTCTGCCTTTGTGTATACACAGAGTGGCATTACTAGGAGCAACTTCTATAATGCAGTGAAACGTCATATAAAATACACGATGTTAAAAATAGGTGAATAAAGTGTTTAGCGTTGGCTCTATTTGATACAGACACTACTGCAAATCTGAGCTTGCTCTGGAGATTTATGGACGTGCAAATGCCACGTAGCCCTCGCCTGCGGTGTTTGCGGATCTCTTTTGATGTCTCGAAACCTGTAACTTTTGATAACAGTGGCATTTTCTCCTCTCCGTTAGGTTTTTTGTAGTTGAAGATCACATCTTGCATACGACGCAGGGCTTGGTAAATAGAGCCTATATTGATGAGCTGTGGGAGATGGCGTTATCAAAAACGATTGCGGCACTGAGGACGCATTCAGTAAGTAAAAGCCCCGGGTCGCTCAACTGTTGCTTGAGTATGACTTGACGTGCTGGAAATACTGGCTTTTACAGTAGAATTCTTTGTTTTCCCTCTTTCCCCATGACCCTGTTCAAAACAATGACATGAAGGTACGCTGCTGTTTCCCCAAAAGCTTTCTCCAGCTTTTTTTGCCTCTTGATGCACTGCATTTTCCTGTACCAAACTCTCAAGATTTTGGGGGGACTGGAAAGAAGAAAATAATGGTTTGATATTTTTCCCGTTACTTTGCTGATCACTTTTGAAAAGCACCAGCAGAGGGAGTCGGTTTGTCCCGGAAAACGGGAAAAAAGCGTCTGTTTGGCACGCTGAAGTCTGACCCTGTTTGATATTCCCTTAAGGTTCATGGCAGTGAATGGGCTGCTATCAAACTGCAAACAATTTGTGCATAAAAAGACACTAAATAGACTTCTTATTCTTTAATATTGAAAGAAGTTTGGAAAAATTGCTTGTTGCTTCGGTGTTTCTCCGCTTGAGCAAAAAAACCAAAGCCAATTGCAAAAAATGTACAATTTTCTTCCAGTTTTGCATGACCTGATACAATGTCGTACTGGTTCAGCTGGGAGCACCGGAGTTTTCTGAAAACCCTCTTGGTTACTGGGATGAAAAAATTGCATTTGACCATGAAAGGAAAAGCATTACTGACTTTCCACAAGTCCGTTTTCAAGTTGTTGGGCCATTTTCTCCAGGAAGAACAACATTTTAAATCACTAAAATCCCACTGCTGCTGGGGGCCGGCAGTGCCGCCCGAGAGGACGAGGATGCTGCAGGGCCTGCGCCTGAGGTGGTGCAACACGCACGTGGTGGTACCCAAGTGATAACGATGTCGTTGCTCTTTGCTAGAGAAAACCCTAAAATTTCCGGGTGGAGACGCGATATGCTGCTTCCTCCAGACCACACCGAGATCTGCATTTAGGTGCCCCTGAGTTCAGCTGAGCGTGGTCGCCCACGGGCAGCGTTGCTGAAGAGCTGCTCGGCTTTACCTGTGCGGGTGGGGATAATCTGGGTGAGGGACCTGGAGCTCGTTGGGATGAGGGACCGCAGAGGCTTCCCGGGCCGCTCTGGCTCCATCTGGCACGGCAGTTGTGTCGACTGGAAAGCTGCCTCCTTGCACTTAAGCTTCTGTGTTAGGAAAGGGGATAAACACAAAGATGTACACCCCGCTAGGTTGTAAACCTGTGTTTGTTTTCTTTTTAAGTGGGGTTTTCTGCTAGGTGAAAGCCGTGAGAGTAAGCCAGGTACAAACACGGTGTTTTTCAATTTTACCAGCTTTGTTGCCACGACAAGTTGTTTTAAGTGATGCCAAACTTAATGCATGAAGTAGCTGCCAGGCGAGCTTTTTTCTTCAGTAATCATGAAGTGTTACGTGATTTCTCAGCACTATTACTGTGGTCATCACTGTCATCTCTAAGCACCGCTCAGCCTACAGCTCCCGTATAGACCGGTGCCGTCCGTCCCGTATTGCCCTTGAGAGGCGATGGAGGGCTCTCACGTTGGTGAGGCTGTTTCGGTTCTTCCCGTTCAGCCAAACTCACGCCTGGATTTTCTTCCTTGCTGCAGATGGGGACATCTTTTATCACTTCTGATAGCTTTAGGGCATTATCTTTCTTTCTGACTTTCTTTTTTGGACAGTGAAATGGAAAATGTGTCTCTTCCAGTCTTTCACATTGATTAATGGAGTCATTCCTCCTTGAGTTTCCAGTGAGCTTTAAATCTGTTTCTCCTTCATTCCAGCTTATGATCACTGATTCTATATTTGGTAAGACTCTGTCTGAAACTTTACATATTTCAGCACAGGGAGGTTGTCTGCTGTGTCCGGAGAGCACACGAAGCCTGTGGGTAACACAGGGTGGCTCTGGGGGGACGATCAGCACTGTCACTGGGCTGAGTTGTGTCTTTAGGGTTTCAAGCAGTGTCCTGACCCGTAATAAATACTTGTATTGTAGCTCTGACCATTAACATTGCTGAAATATAGTCATGCAGCGCGTGTTTTTTCTCAGCCTGAACCACTCAGCAATGCAGCCTTTGCCCAGGGCTTGGGGATGCCTCGCTGCGATGCTTCATTACCGTCAGACACAACACACTAAATATTAAATGAGAGGCGCTGCTGTCGTCTTGGTATGACAGCGCGCTGATTTGCTTCATCTCCTCTCGCTTCCCCAGCAGCTCCTGGGTAATCTTAGAAACACTTCAGGTATCTCTAGAGCAACCAAAATCCTTATTCATCATGGAGAGCCCCAAGAGCAGTGCGTTACGAGGAGAGATACCCTTATCAGCGTGCCTTCCCTTGCCCTGTACAACGTTAGGGCACGGGCTGTAGGATAAAAGCTGCTGATCATAAGACTGTACGGCGTGCCTATGTATTTATTATCACTCAAGTGATAACACAGGAGGGCTGAGGGCAATATTTTTCCCGTGCGCTGCAGTTAAGACCATGTTTTAATTTCTCCCCTTCTTTGCAGTCCTACTGCTCAGACCCAAGCCTGGTGTTAGACTTGAAGAACCTCATCGTCCTCTTTGCCGATACACTCCAGGTACGCGGCTGTTGGCGACCGCTCTTTATCTCTCTCAACGGTTGTGCTGCTCACAGATGGTGTCCATCAGTGGGGTTAAATGGCTGATGTGGGCTTGCTGTGGTGGCCCAGCTTGTTTTTTGGTATTGCGGTACATGAATTGTGGCACCTGATGGACAGCCTGGTTCGCTCTGCGTGTGGGGTGGCCAGCCCATGGGCAAGGACCAAGCCTTGGCCACCTTGCCAAGCCCTTGTGCCTCCTGCCCGCACCCAGCCCAGCTTTTAATAGCCCTTGGTCCTACCACCTCGCTAAACCATCGCCTGAATCCCTCCACCAGCACCGTTCACCTCTCTGGTGGTGGTAGGGGAGAATTTGCCCACGTGCTCCTTGTTAAACAGAGAAAATAATCTTCCAGCAGCCTGTTGGTGACTTTTTCTTATCTAAAGTTGCTCTCTTCCCCCACCCCACTGCAGGGATACGGCTTCCCGGTGAACCAGCTCTTTGACATGCTGCTGGAGATCCAAGACCAGTATAGTGAAACCCTGCTGAAGAAATGGTCAGGAGTTTTCAGGTAAGAAGCTCTTTAAGCAAACTCATGAGATGTACCTTACAGAGGAGTTTCGGCCCATAAATAAAATCTCTTGAGAGATTAGTAGCACGCTCATGTTTAAATTTTGGGCAACAGTAGGCTTCAGCCTGGGCTCTCCTTGGACCAGGGAGAGCCAATTTAAATACAGTTGTGAGGGTCCTGTGTGGGTGAGATCTGTGCAATAAATCAGCGTAGACCGGAGGCTTTACATCCCAGAGGGATAAGGTTATGGTTTCATTATGGAGCTCACTTTGACAGTTGATAGGTGGAAGGCTGCAAAAATCCGGTGTTGCAGTAGTGTTGCTGTGCCCTCGCTCCAGCACTGAGCCACGTGTGTCTCAGGACATCGGTGGCGTAGCCTGGTGCTGTAGGCACGTCCGTGAGCTGAGCAGTTGCCCGTGGGTAGGGCACAATACGTTGTCCAGGGTCCCACGCTGCGCTCGGGAGCCACCAGCTCATCCTGTGGTGGTCCTCCAGGACATCCCAGGAGGACTGAGGTGTCTCGGAGCATGGGTGTTGGGAAGAGGTGCTGGAGGATTGCCAATGCCCTGGTAGCTCAGCCTCCATCTTCCTTGAGTCAGGCAGGACTGAAGCTCACTTGGGCTTTACCAGGGCCTGCTGCTGAAGGTCCAGTCTGGACTAAAAGCACTGCTAAACTCTGGTCGTGGCTTTATGCACAATGAAGGCTGGAAGCTGGGAGAGATCCTTGTGTCCAGCTGCAGGCAAGATGATTTCGACAGTCACAAAGGCGGGAAGAAGTTTAGGCCCATGGGATCCCATCTTTGACTGGCACCTACTGACTGGCACCTACTTCTTAAGAGGTTCCCAACTGAGCAGTAAATCTGCAAGCTGTGGTTGGTGTGTCATCACAGAGCTGTCTTTCTCACTTTTCTTTTCTTTTCATAGAAATATACTTGATTCAGATAACTACAGTCCCATCCCGGTGACAAATGAAGAGGTTTATAAGAAAATAGTTGGACAGTTCCCATTCCAGGATGCAGAACTTGAAAAGGTAATCTTGAAATGGGGAAAGCGGCCCGGCGTGCCTGCTGCTGCAGGAAAGGCCCGCACCCTTGTTAGCAGCGTTGAGAGCTGCAAATGAAAGCGTCAAAACGAAAACCAACCCCAAAACCCCAAACCAAATAAACAACAAAAAAACCCAAACCAAAACAAGGGAAACGAACAAATACACTTTCCACGTGATGCATTTCTCCTGGTGCGGATGAGGAAAGTGCGTACAGCAATACCTCATCGCCTTTGTTTTCAGATCACAGAGACTAGAAATATCTGCTTCCATTGGTATTTTATTCCCGTTTTATGAACTGTGTTATTGACCTTTGTTTTAATCTCGTACTTAAAAAACCAGCACCCAACAAAGCGGTATATCTTGGCTTTTGTAGAAGTGTGTGCTTGCAAAGCCTAAGTGTAGCCAAATTTGACCTAGCCAGTGTCCCTTAAAAGCCTGCTTGGCCTTCTGCTCCACATCTGGCAGCCAGAGAGCTCCACGCCTGGTGAACTTAATTAGGACTGGGAGGTTTTTTGATCCAAGTTAAGTGTTTAGATTTCAGAAAGTCTGCATCCTTCCCCAAAACTATATCATGGGGTCCGGTTTCTTACTGTTACACTCTGCACCTCCCAGCCACGTGTGTGCTATGGGTAAAAGCTGGTTGGAAAAATTCGGTAGAGGACATCTGTTTCCTCTTGGCTTTTGGTGTTGTAAGCAAGTGCTCACCTTGGGCAGCAACTGTGAGAGGTGACTGAGCAAAACACCTTGTGCGTGGTGGGAGAGAAAAGTCAAGGCGTTCCCCGACGGTGTTTTTTCATGTGAGTTAGGGAGTCGGGAGAGGGAAGGAGGGTTGTGCTGTGCTGCCTGCTCCCTCCTAGCTGCAAGTTTCCTTCCAGCCCGTTTCAGGCTCCAAATCCCTTATGCACCCGTGTGCCATTTGTAAGTGATTATCTGGTCTTTCACTTGGCTGAAATGTTTATATAATATACAATAAATGCTGGCTTGTTGTTTCATTGCTGGACTTAGCTAAATACTAGAATGAATTTGACTGCTTGGAACATGTTGCTGGAAAGCGGTCATCACTCCTGTTAAATATCTGCTCTTCGACTTGAATTCTCTCCTGTATTTTACAGCAACCGTTTCCAAAGAAGTTCCCCTTTTCTGAGTTTGTGCCTAAAGTTTACAATCAGATTAAGGAATTCATCTACGCCTGTCTGAAGTTTTCGGAAGACCTTCATCTGAGGTAGGGGATGAGTGTGCTAGTAGTTGAAATATGGAGGTTTTGCCTGGACTAAAAAATCTCAACGGGATTAAAAGATGAATTCTCTTCCTCAACCCTTCATGCTGCTCAACTGCTCGGATATACGCTGTCCAGGCTGGAGGTGGCTGCTGGTCTCCTTGGAGCGGCAGCATCCTTCGTGTACAAAGGGCTGGCCAAGTCTTCAAAAATA